TCATGGGTGCCTTTGCCCTTCACCCCGTTGTCAGAGGGTGGCCAAAACTACAGAGTCCTGGCTTCCTCTCAGCTCCTTCCACTAATTCAAAAATCCAAACAGCAAGCCAGAAGCAGCAATGAAAAAACATGGGATTTGTGTACAACAGGGGCTCAGCCCAGAGAACTGTAGTACCTAAGTTATTTCTTGTGGGCTGGGAAGGATTAGGTACTCTTGAGAAACACGGGGAGCAGAACTACCAAAACAAGCATCCATTTTGGATCATATTCGAGAGAGAAAAGAGCTAAAGGAGGCAAGTGGTTTTTTCATTTGTCCCAAACATGTTTTAAAAAGAAACAAATAATGTTTGGTTTGTCTTTTGCTTGTCTTCTGTACAGCCATTGAAAACAACAAGGAGCCTTTCTCCGAAGTTGCCTTGGACTGGGCTGAAGTCTCTGACACATGTAGGACTCCAACCACACACGGGGTCGGGAGAATTATGAATACACTTTACAGGAATGACATTTGTACCATGAGAAATGGAGTCCTCTGGTATCGGATAGATTTTGCCAGAGGTTTGGAGAACACCCCACAAAGAGTTACCAAACTTTCTGATCAGATAAAACATGACCTCTCTTCCCTGAACATAAGCGCAGTCGGATTTCGCAGTTGGCTCACACACCACAGGACAGGGCTCATGCCAGAAGGGGGGTCCCACTAGCAGTCACGCTCCTGGCAATTTAATTCCCAGCTGAAAATTCCATCTCGCTTCAATTCATGCAGAGTTGATTTTCAGCTTGATCAGAGAACTTTGTGATTGCCAGTGTCAACACAAAGAAAGAGGTTGTATCCCGCAGACAGGTCAGGGAGAGAGAAGAAAATGGTCCTTCTCCCTAACAGTTCATTCAAAGATTGGCTTAGAGCATTTGTGAAACTACAGGTTGAGGCATAACAAGGACAAACTTATGGTCTGAAGGTCCACTTCTGCCTAGACACCCAGCATGGAGGTGCCAGCAGGACCATCGTCAGGGTGCAATTTGAAGGAGACAGTCAGGCTTATATCTTAAAAATCTGGAAGGCTGGGAGGATGGCCTCATAGCGCAAAAACGGGGCAATAGAGGATCTGCCCTACACCTCTATAAACTTTAGGAAAGTAAAATCATGTACAAAGCCAATAGCCAAAAGACTCTTTCAACATCTTTTCAGCATATTGCATTCATTCTCTTTTTCTGTATCAGGGACAAAGAAGCAACCACCTCAAGCACTTACAGAGCTATACAGAGCAATCCTCTTATAGATAAGATCATTCCTAGGAGAGAAGGAATGCTGATCTGTGCATTAGAGGCTGAACAGAGATGACAACCATATGTCACTTGGCAGAAGTCAGGGGTTTGTTTGTTGCTTTTTCAGTATCCCAAATGTAATGAATTATAAAATAGAGCCTAAATTAATAGTCAGGGAGGACTTTATCAGGGCCCCACACTTAGGAGATGCTCATCTGGGAGAATCTCTTTCAACTCATAGACTGTTTGACTTGATCAAAGGTTCTTGCTTTTCAATAGACTTCTGTATAATACTCAGACTCAAGAGCCTCACGAAACAAGAGCCAAGCTGCCTCCCAGAGAAAATTCGAATCCCAGTGAGATGTCAGTCTCATCTTGAAGGCAGGAGGTCCAACTGTTTGGAAAGCAGGAACTTTTGAATATTAATACACTCATACAATAATGAAGGATAGGACTGCCAGTCTGTACTCTTCAGCAACTTGGTAGCATCTAGATTGATATTTGAAAGGTCTTTAACTGCAACAGAATGTATGTATTTGATGTTTAATGACATTAGAACAATTAGACAAGTCCATTATCTCTGCTGGGGGTAGGAGGGCTTAAATGGCGCTAACCCAGCTTCTGAAGAAAAGATAAGACAGGGCCACAGATAAAGCTTTTATACTTTTGAGTGAGCACTATATTCAAGAAGTCCGGCATTTGCTGGCTATATGAGATGCTGGATTCATCCAAAGAATGTGCTGAATTTCATGAATAAGAAATCTTCCTAATTTATCTGCTTATAAAAAAACTTCTCTTTGACAGACTGAATCCTGCGTTCCCATAAGGCCGGCTAAATAAGACTTACTGTGTGCACACAGCTGAACCTCAGGAAAGGAGAAAAATATCACAGGTCAGAGAGATAACTCTCACTTTCAGTATCTTTACATAAAATCACATTTCCCATAGCAAGCTAAAAGCAGGGAATAGATACAAATCAAGGCAAAGAAACAATTCCACCTTAAAGATCTACTGCTAACTGCTCAGGCTCGGAAGGATATAAAAGCATATGATCCCCCTCTTACAAACCAACGAAACTTGAAATTGGGACCTTGTGGTTTAGGTTTTCCTCAAATCAAGAAAGGTCGTAGAGATGTGATGAGCATTGCAAAGTTCTTAAAGAATGATTAGCATTAAGCAACCATAAAAATACATAGGTAAAGCAACCTGTCCAAGTCTGGGGTAGGCAAAGCCTTCAGAGAAGACTGATATCTTCTCTGTGGATCAAGCCACGCTCTTGCTTTTGGCAAATTATTACAGAAGAACCATTTGGAAATTCTACTGAGCCAAGCTTAGGTAAAGGCTTAGGTATGTTTACACCAAGCACTGCAGTGCCACACAGATGCCTGAGGTAGCTGTGAATGACTTGGGTATCTACACAGCACAGTGTCATGCGGAGATATTAGCTCACATCCCAGAAGGAATACAGCCACATTAGCGTGGCTCTGTGCCCAGGCTAATTAGGTGATGTTTCCCCAGTTGCCAGAAATCAAAGAGTGAATCATACATCTGCCAGCATCCAACCTTCTTCTGAAAGCACAGGCTGGAACTGTTTTGAACCTCTGCTATGTGAGAATGGAAGGTGAATATAAAGACATAATGTCACCATTTTACTTTGTTTTAAAGCCAGAAAGAATCATAAATTCATCCGATCTGGCCTCTTTATCACAACTACAACACTTCATCCACATACTGTTGTGCCCAGCATATGAACTTCAGTCAGCCTGAAGCACCGAAGCCCTTTAGAGACTGACCTACCGTATGCGTGCCACAGGCAGAGCCCAGCCATACGCTGGCAAAGCCAAGACTACAGACATGGCAGACAACTGATTAGATGGTAGTTGCCCAGATTATTTCAGCAGAAATCCATTCCTCATACTGCTCTCGAAGGTGAAGAATCCTATAGTTCTGCCCATTAGTTCCCAGCTCTGGCCGTCAGGATGAATCCCAACATGAGAGCAAGATCCATGAACCAATTATCCTGAAATAGGATTCTCCGCTATATCAAAACAACCAGCCCGTTACAGAGAAGCCAGTCTGGTGATGGCCAATCTCTGACAATCCAAAGGAAAAAGAACACACACACAAAAAAAAAAAAGGACTAAACCAAACCACTGGTAGGCTAGGGAGAAAACCTCCTTCCTGAGCCCTACAAGCAAACCACAAAGGCCCTGAAGCATGATTTGAAGATGGTCATTGTCTTACTGCAGAGCTGCAAGTATTTCAGGCATGGTACAGACAAATTACTCCGAACATTTTTTTGAAAAGGGAGACTGATAAATCAACAATATAGGCCACCACACTTGACACACAGACATAGAATTTCTTCTCATGACTTAAATCAAGCACCTCTCTTAAAATGATAAATTCTCTCATCTTAAAGACTCAGAAGGATGGTGATGGAAGACGACTCCAACATTTAATTACACTGAGAGCTGTGAAAACTATTTTATTCCAAGGTGGAACTTTTCAAACTTCAGCTTCCAGCTACTGGAACTGGTTACGGCTTACTGGTTACTGGTTACTAATGGTTGGGTTGTCAACCTCGCCATGAGGTATCTGCTCCTCACATAAGCACCTGTAAAGATTACTTGATTGCAGTGTTCTGTCTCTAGTTGAACATGTTTATTCACAGCACCAGGCAGGTTTTCAAGGGTCTATATCCTTTTTCTCTCCCCCCTTCAAATCCCCAGTGATATCTCTGTGTAATTCCTGGTCTGACAACAGAGAAACTGCACAAAACTTTCTGAGATTTTACTGACTCTGCATACAGAAAATAGGTTTCATCCTCCTGACGAAGGCTTCCCTTTTCACATAGGTAGGAGTTGCAATGGCCATTTTTGTCTTTGCATAGTGCTCTGGGCTCACTGGAAGACACTTATGCACAACAGCCCCTGGATCCTTCTCAGAGTTACTGTTTCCCAGGATGGTATCACATTTTGAAGGTATCATCTGCATTTTTTGGTTCCCAGATGTAGTAACAAGTGGCATAATTAGGATAGCTGTTAAAATATTGAAATGAGTTAGCGTTCGTAGTATTTCTGGGAAATGGTAGAAAGGGAGATGTTTATTGAAACTATATAAACATGTAAAATGTTTTCTCAACACAGTTTCCCATTTATGTTTGCACAGATGTGTGTAATGTCATCACGAAGCCTCTTCCAAGAAAGATAAATTAAATCAAAAAGTTTGAAGAAGGCAAATAGCTAGAATGCTCTGATGGTGCCTCTACGCACCATCTCTTACCTCTTTTTGTCCCCTTTTTCTAATGAGAAAAGATATTCACTGCCATCGAAAAATAGAAAAAGCAAACAAAATTTTTCATGGAGGATAAAGTTCCTCGCCGCAAATAAAATGACCAGCTCTGAAGCTGCAAAGAAGAACGCTTTAATTTAAAAGACAAAAGGTAGTATTACAGAAGAAATTGTCATAAGCAAAATTGAAAAAAATTTTCTATTGTCTACCGTGCCTCTCTGTGGGAATTTTCCCAGCACAGACAGCTGTAACGGAGGAGGGGTACCGTGAGCTTCCGTCCTCTCAATCTCCCTCTCCCTCTCTTCCGTTGTCAATAAATGTCTGCAATCATATTCTTGAGCTCCAGTGTGATTTCAAGGTTCATCTCTTCCATGCAGCTCAAACACTAATTATCCCAGCTGTAATTAGTAAGATAATTAAATACTGGCTCACTCATCACTCTACCTTGTGTCGGGTCATGATTCTCCCAGAAGACCTTGAGTAGTTTCTCAAAGCTGATGTTTTCTGGCTGATATACTACTCGTACAGCCTCTGTGTGGCCAGTTTTACCTTAAAAGACAAAATAAATTCAGATGTTATTAGTGAGAATTAGCTGGTGCTTATCTAGTCTTTTGTATCTGAGATTCAAAGCACAATCCCTTGTTTTCCTTTTCTTTCCCCTAAAGTTGTTTTGATTTACCGTTATTTATACTTAAGCCTTTTTACACAATATTCTATATACATGCCAACTCTAAGATGTCTGCTAGTTTGGACAAGGCCAGGATGAAATAAACTATCCCGAGAGGCGATAACATAAGACAGTGATTTTATTACCGTAGTTTGTCAGCTTACAGGAAAAAAAAAAGAATAGTTCTTAAATATTTCTAACTGACAGCTACTAAAATATTTTAAAATATTCTAAATACAACATTGAAATATGAAAACATCTGTGCCTAAGTTGTCTTGCAGAATAAAACCTTATTTCTGTGAGGAAAGATACGGATAAAATAATTGATTAAAAAAACAAATTTCAAGGGTGTGTTTACACAAGATCACACAGATAATTTCAAACTATTTCACATCATCCAAACCACTGACACCAACGGGCTTCAAAAAGAGTCAAAGAGAGCCTGACCAAACTTCATGACAATGGATGAAGTTCAAAGAAGACTGGCAGGTGTTAGAGCACATTAAAACATATTATTCCTATTTTTCAGTTACATTATGGGCATGATTTTTTTCATTCCTTACCTGTCTAATCACTCACAATAAGTGATTCAGCTTCAAAAAATGTGAAGGATTTGGCCACATAATTCACTTCATTTAGAATCACAGAATCCCAGAATGGTTTAGGTTGGCAAAGCACTTGCAGCCGCCCACCCCCGCCCGGCCTGTAAATCCCCCCCAGGGCTGGGGACTCGACCCCTTCCCTGGGCAGCCCCTTCCCGTGCCTGACAGCCTTTGTGGGGAAGAAATTTTTCCTAAACTCCAACCTCACCCTGCCCTGGCACAACTGGAGGCCGTTTCCTCTTGTCCTTTTTGTAACTAAGAGTTAGATTGATGAGTGCTCACACATCTCAGGGTGACAATCCATTGCACTGAGTCCTACACACGCATTTTATATTTTATAAATATTATATATTGTATAAATTTACAATTTATATATGTGGTAATATTTGTTGCCATAATATATGCAGGAATGGGGAAAAAAAATTATCCTGCTCTGTAGTTAAATCATAAGTAAGCACTAAACAAAAGTAAACTGGACAGCCACATCTGCCTTTTGGTGGGGATGTAATAAGTTCATTGATCACACTAGGCCAGGTTTTTATTTCATTTATACCAGCACAAACTTCAGAGTTACTCAATTGCCTTCAATAGAATTCTTTAATTTCATGCAGTGCAACAACCAGCTGAATCTGGCCCAGGGATGGGTTCTGAATTAGCTGTCATCAAAGAAGAAATATCAGAGTCTGTGAGTAACTGAGGAGTGTTCAGTAGAAACACCAATTCAGTACCAAGAGAAATTTTAATTTTTAAAAAAAAAAAGTAGAAAGAAATAAAAAAGATGCTACGATATATTAAAAAGATATAACAAGGAAAAGCATGGCAGCATTATGTCAATTAACGAGGCACCTGAAATGAGGAAAACATAAATGAGACGCAGAGGGGTGGGCTAGCTATTAAAAGGGATTAAAAAGACTGGGATTAAATTTAGTCTAGAATGCAGAGGAGTAAAAGGGGACACATCTAGGATATCTGTAATGAAAATTTTGATAAAATCAAATCAGTTCCTATCTAGCGTGCTTCACATACAACACAGATATGCTCACTGAGATAAAAAGACAAAAATGTGCAAGTTTCATGTAACCTGTAGCTAAAGCCACGTCATCCTGTCCACCATGTCCAGGCAAATGATGGCCCAATTCCTCTTTCGCATGCGCTACACCTATTGAAGGCCATGGAAGCAACTCATTATCTGAAGTCAAATTCTGGTGGTAGGTTATCAGAAAGGGATCATACCCTTCCCCCTTCACACCTAGTTTAAAGCCCTGTAATATAAGATAATTGGCTTAATAATAAAGTGAAATGGTCTTTCTATATGATGGCATGAAGTGATGGCCATCTTAGGTCAGGGATGGAATTTACTCCAGATTACATCATTTAATATGGACTAACAGTGAAAAAAATGGGGTTTGCCTTAGCTGAAGCCCAGGTCAGGAATTCTGTTGTTGCTTGAGATGAAGAAGGAGAACAAATGGACAGTGGCTTGTCCAGCTCTCGCAAGCCTGCATCGTGTAACTAAAACGCGATTAAGGAGTGGCTTCTGACTTTAATTCTGGGGGTTTTTTAAGCCAATGTGAACCTTATGAAAGGTTCTTATCACTCAGGAGCAAATTGCTTGTCTAAGATGACTAGCTTTAGATCACAAGAGAGTTTCTTAAACAACAAAACAACAGAGGCATTACCTTTCCTCTCAGTTGAAGCAGCAATTACATCTTGTCAACACTGTCTGCTCTGACTAATCCAGAAGTTCAAAGAATCAGCTTTCTTCTTTTCCTCTGAATAAGGAAATAATGGTGCTACTCTGAGAACTATAGCCTGACCTCGAGAAAAAAAAAAATCCTCAGATGTGTGGCTAACAGACTGTTAGAACCTAGAGCATATTTAAAATCAATATTCATCCTCAGAGGAAAAGCAAGGAGGTAATGATGCTGGTCCTATCAGATTCACCTCTAATTTTCCTCAAAGCCTTTGTACAATCTAGTGGATTTTCTTTCAGAATACAGCATGGCTATTTCTACTAAGAACAATCTTAGTCATTTGTGATGAGCACCTACTTCCCAACAATTTTAGTGGAAACTAAACGAATCAACTGGGTACACATGAGCAAATAGACAGGTAAAAGGCTCCATGTGGGACAGATTAACCACAAGATTTCCTCGAAGAAGCACAGAGAGAAAATGGTATCAGGGGACAGGAAAACAGAGAGCCATCTCTCTGCAGCTGCAATGCACCTCTCAACAAGGGGTCAGAAGATACCATGTGGTTACTCCAAGTAGCACGTAGAAACTACCAGCTTAACACAGCCAAAGTGGCAAAAGGGAACTAAAATTGGGTTCTCCCTATTGATCTTCTCAGTTCACTTTTTGCATTAGGCTGAAGTTTGGCTATGAAAACAGAATAATCACATTTCGGTTTGGGTTTCCTACATTTGGCATGCTACAAGGCCAAAGGAAGAGAGCAGGCATCAAACCAGCTAACCGCTCCTCTCTGTTGTAAGAAATATTCTAATCGCATATTTTTTGTAAGATTTCTGCGGTGGTTTGACCTTGGCTGGATGCCAGGTGCCACCAAGCTGCTCTATCGCTCCCCTCTTCAGCAGAACAGGCGGGGAGAGAATGAGATGGAAAGAAAGAAAAAAAAACCCCAAACTCGTGGGTCAAGATAAAGGCAGTTTAATAAAGAAAAAGCAAGAGCAAAGGCCGTGCATAGTAGCAAAAGGAAAAACAAGATTTTATTCTCTGCTTCCCATTAGCAGGCGATGTCCAGCCACTTCCCGGGAAGCAGGGCTTCAGTACACATAGTTGTTCCTCCAGAAGACAAAATGTCACAAAAGACAAATGCCCCCCCTCCTCTTCCTTTTCCCTTAGTTTTTATATCTGAGCTGATGTCACATGATATGGAATATCCCTTTGGTTGGTTTGGGTCAGGTGCCTTGGCTATGTCCCCTCCCAAGATCTTGCCCCCTTCCAGCCCACTGGTGGTGGTGGAGGAAATATCGGAGACACAGCCTTGATGCTGTTCAAGCGCTGCTCAGCAGTAGCCATAACACTGGTGTGTTATCAACCCCTTTCTACATACCAATAGAAAGCACAGCCCTATGCAGCTTGACCCAAGACAATTTCTTAAAACAGAGAGGCAGGAACCAAAGAGAAACAATAAACCCACCTGTGCTCGAAAGAGCTGCATGTCTTTTAGCAAGAAATTTAACAGGCTAACACTACACAGCTGAAACGATGTCAAACGATCCGTGAGAGATGCCCTCCTTACAGTGAGATTCAGCTCTTCACCTTAGTGCCTCCTTCAGAATTTCTCACAAAAGGTCCGTTTATATTAAGGCAGAGAGTCACGGTGTCCTCAGTTCACCTATTGCTTTTAATTAGCTGATCTTTCATATTCCACCGTAATAGCACACTTCACTTCAAGTTCCAAAAGTTTTAACAAGCAAGAACATTTCTAGAAGCCTTCTCCCAAAAAAAGCTCAAAGTTTCAATCGTGTTTTCGTAAATAATTTATCGAATCACTAAACATAATTTCATTCGTTGTTAACTGTGCAAATAGAAATCCTCTCTTTATAGGTGCCATTATCGGATTTCCAGTTCTGGTGCTCAGTTCTCCTTCGGCTTTAGAAGGAGCTTAGCCATTGAAGAACCTCGCCGCCGATGATAAGACTTTATTACACCGTGGCAGAGAGGGCTGCGTGCCAACAGCAGATTGTCTGTTTATCCTATATCCATTTCCCACTTAGAAAACATAGCCACTCTCAGAGGATTAGCTACAGTGAGTTCTTTCAGTGGGGATTCAAACTCTGGCAAAAATGTTCCTGTAAAGAGCAATAGAAAAAGACATCTGAGTGACACCTCAGTGCTCCTTTTCAATTTTTTTCTTCTTAATAGTGTTTAGATTTTCACCTTCTTAATCATCTCCCAGGTGAGTGCCCAAGCCGACGGATTATAGAAGCGAACTCATTCTTTTTAACTCGCTGTATCCAGTAAGCATTTAATTATTTCCGGCAAAGTGGAACGACTTCAAAGGGCTGGCTTGAGAGCACCTCACCTGTGAATACCCAACCACCCAGCAGCCGCGGCGCCGCTGCCCAACACGGGGGCTTCATCTCCAGCTCATCCAGCCCTGGGTGAATTCAGTTATAAAATTCAAGCAACACCAAAACTATTCCCTCCTGCCCCACTTCTTCCATAAAAAAGGACTTGCCTCTCTTTACCCACCAAAATACAGGGCCTAAATCCAGTAAACAGCTAAATATAATTTAAAGAAATAGGTGGCAA